TGTCAGAGCGCCGACAGTCAAAAATAACTAAAAATAAAACAAACAAACCCCTCCTCCACAAAAAAACCTGCCAGCACATCACTGTGACCTTTGACCTTTCCATGCACACACGGTCCGTTGCTTTTTAACTTCATTTTGGACACAAAAGAACATATCAAGATAAAGTAAAAATCCTCAAATACTGAAATATTAGTTCTTAAACTTAGAATTTTATATTGTTTTTCCAATAAGAACTAAAATCCAAAACACGTGTCCTAAAATAAAATGCATAAAATACAAAACTAAAGGTCACGTGGTTTAAATTCATTTATTAAAGCACAAACAACAATAGACTCAGAACACAGGGGACCATCAGTGGGTCGAGCCCATTTACTGATCACTATTCACTAATAAATATAAACATGAAGAGACGAACTTGTTTTGTATCAAAATGTTCTTTTACAAGCAGGAAAACGTGGAAAATACCTGGCAAAACGTGCAGTTTTCAGTACAGTGAAAGGTTTCGGCCTCAGATTATTCCATAAAGAACAGGAATATTCTGCGTTGGAAATCCAAAGTCCAGCTCATTTTTGTGTTATGTGCCTAACTTGTCAAACTTTTCCTCCTGTTTTAAAGAAAGCCAACTTCTGACACTTGTGGGGGGAAAAAAAACGCATGCTAAGTTATAAGTTCGTAAGTCTAAAGAATAAATATGACTCATCGATCATGACTGTAACTCAAATAATCAAATATGACTTTAAAAGTAATTTTTAAATGAAAAGTTATGATCTTGAAATACAACCTAATGACTTTCAAAGTCATGACAAGATAAAACCTCGTAATTATTTTGAATCTAAAATATGAATTTTAACACATACTTGAGTCTGTAAAAAAAAATCAAATATGACAAAAATGTGCATACATGACTTCAAAACTCGTACTGATGACATCCTGATGCATGCTCAATAATCCGTGTGAAAAATAAAAAAAATCTAACAAAGTAAAGTCAGGTCCTCTGGACGGATTCTTCTTGTTGAAATGTTTTGTCTTTTATCCAAAAGACTAATAAATAGCACCTTCTCAAAAATAAACCAGTTTGTTGCTGAAATCCAGAACTAGTTGTTCACATGATAAAGGTGGACCATCAGCCTAACAATCGATTGTAAAGACCCCCACATACTCGGGCGTACTGTGTGTACTCCGTGAGCCACGTGGACTCCGCGCATACCGTCCACAGACGGCTGAGACGTCATACTCGAGTGTACAGATGACCTAAAATTCTTGCAGTGCCTCGTCCTCGTCTGAGCTATTTCCTCCCACAAATTTCTTCTTCTCTGAAAGTCCTTATATTCTCTCATTGATGTATCATATAGATTTCTATGTTTTCTAATCTCTGTGAGATGCTCTTCAAAGTTTAATTCCATTTTCATCCACAAGATGGCGTTGATTCTCAACCGTTATCTGAGAGTGGTTGGTGTCGCATACAAAACTGTTCGATATGAACACCGTGTCTCCCCAAACAGTTTATTGTGCGACACAGAGTACACGGTCGTAAAAATGTATCTTTGTGCGGACATGTCCGGCAGACGTTGACTTCGAGTCCGCGGTGAGTCCTCCTCGAGTACGCGCGGACCTCCGCGGACTGAAGTACGCCCGAGTATGTGGGGGTCTTTAGTGCCCTGATGGCTGCTTGCTATTCACAGAGGGTTGAGTGATACTAGCAATAACAGCATTGTAAGAGAGGAAAGTTGAACACGGAGGCCTCCACCCCTGTTTAATGATGGACGATTTCTTTCCATAAAGATGGCCTCCTTTACTCCTCTCTCAAACCATCGTTCCTCTCTATCTAGGATGTGAACATCTTCATCCCTAAAAGAGTGACCGCTGGCCTGGAGATGAGTGTAGACCGCAGAGTCCTGGCCTGATGATGTTGATCTTCTGTGCTGGGCCATCCTTTTGGCCAGTGGCTGTTTAGTTTCCTCGATGTAAGACTGATCACCCTCCTGACACTGAACAGCATACACAGTATTACTCTGTTTGTGCCGGGGGACTGGATCTTTGGGATGAACCAGTCTTTGCCGTAATGTATTTTGGGGTTTAAAAGCCACTGGGACGTTATGTTTAGAAAATAAACGTCTCAGTTTCTCTGAAACTTCCACAACATACGGAATGACCACTGGTCTGGGTCTGCGTTCCTACTTTTCACCTGGTGGCTGGCAGGAGTCCTGTTTGGGTTTCTTCTCTGCTTTCAGGAAGGCCCAGTTAGGATATCCACATTAATATCCACATATGCAATGTGGATATTTTAGCTCTAGGACACACCATGTCTATTGACTTTCTAACCCTCTATACCAGCTCTACACCATCTTGGGAGTCAAGATGGTGTAGTAGGGCAACCTACTTAGGACCAGAAAGTCACAAGTTCAACTCCCCGACTTGCCCACATGTCCTGGTGTTCCTGAGCCAGACGCCTAATCCCTAATTGCTCCCCGGGTGCTTGCATAGCTGTCTACTGCTCCACCTAGGTGCATCTCTTGTGTGATGTGTTAAAAGTCACCTTTTGACAATGCTGTTATTGCAAGTATAGTATTACTCAGCCTTCTGTGAATAGCAAGCGGCCATCAGGGCATTAACGATCGGTTGTTAGGCTGATGGTCTTCCTTTATCCTGCGACCAGCTAGTTTTGGCTCCAGCAAATTGGTTGAAGACTGACTTTTTTGCTGCTCCTCAGACTGAAGAAGTCTTTTGGATAAAAGACGAAATGTTTCAACAAAGAAGAATCCATCCATAAGACCTGACTTTACTTGGTTAGATCATACTGATGACATTAAAACTCCTAAAAAGTATTTTAGATCTAGTTAGTAAACATGACTTTGAAACTTGTGCATACGGCTTTTAAATTCATAATAATGACTTTTAAAGTAAAAATTGGCATTAAAACTCAATCTAGTGGCTGTAAAACTAATTTTGACATAGCATCAGGGGCCTCATGTATGAACAATGCAAATGCACGAAAGGGTTGCATGTGCCATATTCCACGCACACACTGGGCTGTATCAAACCAACGTTGCATGAAAGTGTGCATAAATATAGACAAGATTTGACCTGCCGTGAAAATGTGCGTCTCGCCAAGCAAACTTTTTCAGCTAACAGTATCAGGCTACAGAGAACTAAAACGCACCTAAATACACCAAAGCATGACTCTATTCAGTCAGTGTCCTGAACCTAGGGGACATGTAATCATGATGTTTTCTCATGAGCGAGAGCCTATGTGGTTTAAAACCAAATGAAAACAATGATGCATGCGTACCCCATAGACATAACATATGATACGATACGCCTCAAAACAGAAATAACTTCACTCAAGGGAAGGTGAATAGAAGGTGCCCATTCTAGTTACCGCCACGCTGGGGTTCCTTGAAACCAGAGCCTAACAGGTCAGGCATTTCAGTCATCCCTTAGCAAAAAGTAGTTTATTTAAGTGTACTAAAAGTATACTTATTTTACACTAAAAATGAGGAAGTGTACTTGAAGTTTACTTTTTATAAACTTTACTTGATATACTTAAAAATAGTATAAAAATGTCCCAATTTAGTTTAGTTTATTATTTTAATATAAAATAATTTAGTCCAAACAAGTATTAAATCAGTATACTTCTAGTACACTACAAGTATGGTGTGTAGTATACTTGATATACTTAGCTTAAAGTGTAGTGAACTAGGCCTCTGATCAAAACCTGCCTCTGAAGACCTTCATGGGACAGGAACTGTTATTTCATTGATTTGAATCCAGAAATGCATATTAGCTCATCCAGAGACTTACGCGAGCTATACTTACAAAAATAAACTTCAAATGTACTACTTTTTGTTAAGGGATTTGTTATCCGTGCCACGCCATCTGCATGGGATGGCCTAGGCCTGTCGCGATAAACAATAAATCAATCGCATGATAAATGAAAATTATCTACCTCATTTTCATTTATCGGATTTATTGTTTCTTCGTGTCTCTTTTTCTACTGAAGACAATGGATGACAAAAGGCTCAACTCTGCGTTTTTGGATCGCTAAAAGCAGCTAAGCTGAGAAGCTAAGCTACGAGCTAAGCTAACAGGCCGACCGCAGGAAAAAAAACCTCTGTCTCGTTGAAGCTCCAAAATTCACGGTTGAAACCTGTGCCTTCGTCTAAAAAGTTGTCTTTCTCTGCAAAAAGAAGCTGAGAACTTGTTTGCTGATTTTTTTAATTAAAAGCTTTGTGTGACAAATGCTATGCTAAAGAGCTCAAACCACACCGAGCAGCCGCCATTTTGAGAACAGAAAAAAGGACAGAGAGACAGCCCATGTCACATCAAGGGGCCTCCCTCCCATTTTTCTTAAAGAGACACGCTGCTCGCTCCCTCACTATCCATCCTTCGGTTCAAACAGACTCATACTGCCATATGGTGGTCATAAAAGGTACTACACACAAAAATTGACCAACATTTATTCTTAAATTTGACAATAATTACTAATTATTGTCAAATTTCAAACAGTATTATCTTTTATTGCGATAATTTCTGAGACAATTAATCGCCCAGCAAAATTTGTTATCATGACAGGCCTAGGATGACCTCGTCCATATGATCTCCAGATATAGTAAATCCCCTTACATGATGGTTGAAACCTTTTGTCGGAAAAGGATAGGTGTCTCTTGTGCACTCAGTTCCACGTTTGTTGGGACATAGGTTGCGCAGAAACATACGTATGCACAGTTTGATGAATCTGAATTTTTTTTTGTGCTTACACACTTTCACATTTTGTCTCTACACCAACTTTTAGTCTGAAAGCTGCATGTTCGTTCATACATGCGGCCCCTGGTGACTCTTTAAATCCAAGTGGCAATAATGTGCTTCCGTACGTTTCACCCAGTTGCTTGAATTTAATTTTTATCCTGTTTTTATGCGCCTCACGGAGCTAAGGGAATCACTGATGGGGCCCAAACACAAGAAGTCAAACACCTCCACTGGTAGGAAAACAGAAAATGTCCCTAAAACGGCAACGTGTCCAGGAATAACTTATCTATTGCTGCGGGCGGTGGCACCAGGTCCTCCAGCTTCAGGTAGAAGATCCTCTGAAGTCCCTGGATGCACAGAGTCCGGAGTTCGGGAAGCTTTTCCAGGAGTCTGGACAAGTGGTTGTTCCAGCGTGTCGAGCCTCCTCCTTCTGGATTCCCACTGTTCTTCAAACATCTGACCACGTTACTCTGCATCTCCTCCACGCGCTTCGGCTCCTTTAGCCCGTGGCGCTCTGAACGTAAAAAAAAAAAAAAAAAGGTGTCAGAGTTTATCAAATGCACACGGACGTCTTTAACCATCATCACACTGACGGGGAACTTTAATTTTGTAGATTTAAGGTAATACGTCATTGCAAAAGTCTGAGTCTTTACTGTAGATCAAACTTAGAGCAGTGTTAGATATTAAAGGACTTTTGTTTAGAAAAATAAAAGTAAACCATGCTAAGAGTTGTCTTTCAGGCTAAAAAATACAGTTGTCCCTCGCTACTTTGCAGTTCGACTTCCACAGACTCGCTCTATCGCAGTTTCTGAATGTACAGTACATATTATTGTACTGTACAAAAAGTAAATTGTACAGGACACATGATTGTCAACTTTAATATAACTCGCATGTACTGTAAAAATTTAACGAAAAAATAAAATACTTCGTACAGGTGCTGCCATTTTGTAGTTTTCTCTCTATAAGCCTACACTGTATTCACGCTCATATCAACTGCATTTCCCAGAAGCCAACAGGGCCCCCGTTTCTTTCTGCTGAAATACAAGAGGAAAAGTTTTGATCTGATTGGAAAAAGTTTGGCACTTATTACAGTGACTTAAGTGCCCAGAGGATGCAGAGAGCTGCACAGAACCCATGGAACCGGACCAGAACCAGAGCAGAACCAGACCTCCAGACCCATCAGTGAATCTTAGCTGGTAGCTGATCCACGAGGACTTCCAAGCAGGGACGCGCCACCAAAGGTCTGGGGCTGTTTTCGGAGCCCATCGGGACTTTTTCATCCAGACTTGTATTCAATTGACTATCTACAGTCCCGTGCCAACCAATCAAAGGTCCCCCCCTCCCCAAAATGTGCTTAGGCATTCAAGGGCTGCACTGAACTGGACCAGAACTAGATCCCCAGATTCAGCGGTGAACCTGAGAGCTCCTAGCTGGCCCATGAGGACTTTGGAGCAGGAACGTACGCCGCTGAAGGTCCGGCGCTCCTGACTTTTCCATTTACTTTTTCATCTCTTTCAACTAGCCCACGCGGCCCTTCTAACGGGTACGTGCTGGTAAGTAAAATTTAGTAGCTACATATAAGTATGTTGTTCAAATTAGTAGGTTTAAGAGTTTAGAACATTGATTGTGGGCTTCATCACTGCGGGTAGGTTTGCAAAAACGAACAGAGTCGAACAAGAACCGAGAGCTGTTGCTGTTCTGCAGAGCTGGTAAGTAAAATTTAGGAGCTACATATCTTTATTTATTTATTTATTTATTTTATTTTATTTAGCTAGGCAAATTCCATTGAGATCACAGATCTCTTTTGCAAGGGAGGCCTGGACCTGAAGGCAGCCTAACATGCATGTTTTTGTTCTGTATGTATGTTGTTAAAACGACATAAGTTTAGGAGTTTAAAACATTGCAAGAGTGTGGGAAGGGTTTCTAAAGCCTTAAAATATATATAATACTAAAATAAAAATAACGCCCCTACTTCACGGATTTTCACTTATGGGGTGGGGGGTTGGTCTCGGAACCTAAGCCCCACAATAAAGGAGGGACTACTGTATTAACATTTTCAATAAACTGTCTTCATCCATCCATCCATCCATTATCTTTACCCGCTTATTCCATTTTGGGTCACGGGGGTCGCCGGTGCCCATGTTCAGCAATCACTGTGCGAGGGGCGGGGTACACCCTGGACGGGTCGCAAGTCCATCACAGGGCCACATAGAGACAAACGAGACAAACAACCATTCACTCTCTCATTCACACCTAGGGACAATTTAGAGTTACCAATCAGCCTAACATGCATGTTTTTGGTCTGTGGGAGGAAACCGGAGCACCCGGAGAAAACCCACGCATGCACGGAGAGAACATGCAAACTCCACCCAGAAGGCCCCTGGACCGGGGTTTGAACCAAGGACCTGCTCGCTGAGAGGCAGCAGCTCTACCAGTTGCGCCACCGTGCTGCCCAATAAACTGTCTTATAAATAATAATTTTTAGACAACATTTTAAACCCCAGCACAACAATTTTTATTTCAAAAACCTTCTACTTTAAGCTAATTGTTTAATAAATATATTGGTTCCAATATATGGTCCTTGAGGAACACCATCCTGCATGTTTTAGTTGTTTCCCTGCTCCAACGCACTTGATTCAGAGATTTTATTATTTCCTGAAGTTCTGCTAAAGCCTGTTGATCACCCATTTATCCAAATCAGGTGTGTCAAAGCAGGGAAACAACTAAAACATGCAGGATGGTGTTCCTCAAGGACCACGGTTGGGAACCATTGGAAACCATGTACTGTATGTTTACTTGATATTTTTAGCAAACGTTTTCAAGATTTCATGTAGTCAGTTCTTCTTGGGTAAATCTTTTAAATGAATATTTTGATCATTAACCACAAACTACTTCTTAAAAATTACCCATCGATTCCAAATGTTAAACAACCCTTTTCCAACTAGGCTATTTAGATTATTAAGCTCATTTTTAACATTTACGTAAACCTTGTTTACAACCATTTGTCAACTGTTTATCTACCTAAAACTGTTTTTCAGTCAGTAATCTTTGTCTACTGAAGTTATTATCTAAAAGTAATTCTCATATAAATTGCATTTAAAAGATCAAATATTTCATAACGCACTTTTAAATCACTACTTAGCTGTTGCTTAGCTTCACTTTAGGCTAATTATTTCAACCACAAATTGTCAATTATCCACCAATTCAAATTATTTGTTCTACTTTTTTTCCCATTGCTTTGGGCTTTTACATTTTTATTCCAAATTCTGTTTAAAAAAATTACATTTTCCCTATTAATTTCAAACTTTTATAGACCAGCTTTTCCAGCTGTTCACTTCCAACCATTTATCTTGTGAATCGTCGATTAAAAAGTCACAATACCAAAAACATTTTTTTACATTCTTACCTATCTGAGTATAAGTTCAACCCATCCTAAAGAATAGGCTTAAAGTTACTGGATAAATGTTTCCACAAAGACGAAACACTTTAATTGTCTTTTGCTCACCGGTGACCAGTGCAAGAGTGCATATGCAGGAGAAGGTGGACACATCCAGGTTCATCCTTTGAAGGTTGGCGGAGAACTCAACAATACTGTCGATCCACTCGCCAAAGCCCCTCAGGCACTGCAGCCGATGCCACACCGAGCCATCGCAGAAGATTAGCTTTCCTTCCTCTGGGTTTGATCTGAAATGTTTTGACAGCTAAGAGTAAAAGGCTGAAAAGGCAGGTTGTTGCACAGAAATCAAATGGGTTTTACATGTACCCATCAGCAGGCACTGTATATGTAGTTGTAAACAGATGTTTAAATCGTAGAACGAAAGAAAAACAACCCGGTGGAGGTTTGTCTCTTGGTCTTTGAGGGGAGCTCTTTACCTGTATGACAGTCGTAAAACAAAAAGCTCAAGGAATGCTGAGTGGAAGAGGAGGTCTTGGTCATGTTTTGGTAGCGAGGCAAACCCAGGAATCCTCTGTGCCCAACACCGAATGACTTCCATTGATCTGGTCAGGAGGTCATAAAACTGCCGGACATGTTGAGCATCGTCCCCCAGAAGACTTCCTGGACTCTCTTTAAACTGCAGTGAAAGGTCACAGGAAGAGGAAAAAGAAATCAACAAACACGATGAGTTGACGTTACGTTCTTTGGGGCACATTATTATTATTTTGTCCCTTGAGTATATTTTGGGGGGTGTGGTTAATTACACCTTTTGTAATTAATATTTGATTGATTTGAGCTGTGGCGTTTTCCGCGGCCTTCGGGAGCTTTCTCAGACTCTCATTTTCCCTTTCGCTCATCCTGTCACCAGGATACATCTCGACGTGTAGGCCGCAGCTGCCGGCCACAGCCTGACGCGGTAAATTTAGTTAACGTTTGTCTATTTTTCATTGTGATTTTGGCCTGGTAGCATTGGTTGTCCTGTTCTCGATTCTTTCTTTCGCAATATGTGTTTTGTTTTTAGATTTTTTTTCTAGTTTTAGTCCAGTATCAGCAGTGGCTTCGACGGCCCTGTATAGGGTTAGCCCCCTGCTGTACCATTTGTTCTGTTTGACCGGCTCACCAGGTCCATCTTTCAGTTGAATACTTTGGGAGGTTTGTGTTTTTTTGGGTGCACACGGGAATTGGGGGGTCATAATCCTTTTTTTCTCACAGGAAGCAGCTGAGTGAACCTGAGTTTTTATAAGTTTTAATAAATTGAATGTTTGAGCCACGTGTCCTCCTTAAAATATGTTGTGCCCTTGGTGGACGTAACAGTTGACTAGTTTTAACTTATTTCCTCTGGCTACCTGGATCATTTAAAACCTACAGTATGTCTAAAGTACAAAATGCTCAACAGAGCACTTCGTTCTCAGACTGCAGGTTTACTTGTGGTTTCTAGAGTTTCTAAAAGTAGAATGGAAGGCAGAGCTTTCAGTTGTCAGGTTCCAATTTCGTGGAACCAAATTCATGTTTCTGTCCATGAGGCTGAAACATTGTCTACGTTTAAGATTAGGCGTCTTTCCTTTTTCATAAATCCTATAGTTAGGGTCAGCTTGGGTTTCATGAATTATCCCTTCGTTATGCTGCTATAGGCTTAGAATGCTGGAGGACAAACTGACCAAATTTCCTCACTCTGCTGCTGCTGTCTTTACTCATTTTGTGCTAGATGCTTATACATTTATAACATTAACATATTTTCTTTATCTTTCTTCCCATAGGAACTTCACCTGGACCATAGAAACTTCACCTGGGCCAGCCGTTTTGTATTTGTCTGCGCCTTTTTTTCTGTCCTAACCCCAGCCAATCCAAGCAATTGACTGCCCAACCTGGCTCTGGTTCTGTTGGAACTTTCTTCCTGTTAAGAGAGAGTCATTCCTTCCCACTGTCACCATCATGCTGCTCAGGATGGGAGATTGTGACAAAGTGAAGATTTTACCAACTGGCATTTCATAACGCACTGCATGTGAATGTATTGTAAGCAAGTAAGTAAGTAAACTTTATTTACATAGCACTTTTCATAGATAAAATCACAAAGTGCTTTACAGAAATGCAGATACAGGCTTAAAATAAAACAAACGGTCACGTTTATGCCCCCTCCTACCATAGTTTCTGCCCCCCTGCCCAGTTTCCTTCATATTCATAGGGCGGCTGTGGCTGAGTGGTTAGAGCAGTCGTCCTCCAATGCGAGAGTTGGGGGTTCGAATCCACCAGCAGTCACATATCGAAGTGTCCCTGGGCAAGACACGGAACCCCTCATAGCCTCTGATGCGTGTCCCATCAGTGTAGAATGTGATCTAAAGCACTAATTAGTCTATTTAGAATGATTTGTTCAATTAGCTTTGTAGAGATCTAGTAGAGTGCTGTATAAATGGGTAAATGAGGCACAGATTGTAGTGTAAAGCGCTTTGAGTATCTTGAAATAAGATAGAAAGGCGCTATATAAGTACAGTCCATTCATGCTTCAGCTCAAGCCTGCTCCTGTCTTCCTGCACCACACCCACTTTGCCTTGTCACAGTAATCTTCTTAAGTTCCATGTTCACACTGCACCAGTGCCAGATTATTGAACCTTTCACAGTAGTAGATGTCCAGCATTTATGCCGCAGCCTTGTTTGTCTGCCTGGTTCTGACCTCACAACTGTCCCTTGGATTCCTTGCCTTGCCTGCTCCTCTTCTTGTTTGGATATTTCTCTCTGACCACGGTACCAACTCTGCTCTCCATTACAATGACTACGCCTCTTGGATCTCGTTTTGGATTAAGTTAAGGATTTCTGACCCCCTGTGTATGACCCCTGCCTGTTCTACTGGGCCTCGTTTCTGGATCTGCCCCAAAGTCTCATGCTGCACAGTTCTTCTGCTCAGCTGCGTTTAACTCACCGCTGGTGACGTCATCGGATGCCTGTATTTCCCTGAGAACCTTCACAGTCAAACCCACAAGTCTATCATCTCTGTCTCTACAGATTCGAGCCATCCACGGACCCAGACCTCCACCAGGAGCTTTACTTTAATAAACTTTTTAAACCATTCATGTTGTTCGGTGCCGTTACTGAATCCAAAACCAGAATCTTGTCAAAAACAGTAAGAACAGCTGATAAAACTAGGAAGTAAAACATTTAACTAAATCTTGTCTGAATAAAAGTGTCTTAAGCTGCTTTTTAAAGGAATCAACATAGATGGTCACATGAAGAGACAGGGGCAGGGCATTCCACAGTCTGCAGGCTACAGCCTGAAAGAATAGATCACCCCGAGTTTAAAACCGGGCCATAGGACCTTTAAGAGGTTCAGCGCTGAAGACAAAAGGGTGCGGGCTGAAGAATAAGGAATCAACATTTCAGTGATTTCAGTGAGTCTGTCCATTTAAAGCACTTAAAGTCAAGACTAAAAAATTTTAATTAATTCTAAATTGGACATGTAACCAACGAAGAGAAGATAAAACCGGTGTAATGTGAGACCTTCTATTAGTTCCTATTAAAAGCCTTGCAGCAGCGTTCTGGACCAACTGAAGATGAGCGTCAACAGATTTGTTAAAACAAGTAAAAAGGGAATTACAATAATCTAAACGAGAAGAGATAAAAACATGAATAATCATCTCCAGATCAGATTTGGATAATATTACCCTCAATTTAGAAATATTTCTCAGATGATAAAAGTAGTTGTTTTTTTTACCAGAAGTCATGAATGTTTGTCCAAAGGCAATGACTACTCGAACAGAACACCAAGGTTTCTGAGGCTCGGCTGAGAAGAGGAGCCCAGAGAACCGAGGTGTTGATTGATCCAAGGAACTTTCTGTTCAGGAGCAATGATCAGGGTTTCAGTCTTGCTAGAATTTAACTGAAGGCGATTGTTAGCTAGCCATGCCTTAATATGGGAAACACAATTTACTAATTCAGCTAACATGTAATTCTGAGTCATAGAACAGTTTAGTTGAATGTCATCAGCATACAAATGGCAAGACACATTACTGAAGCTACGGATGATCTTACCAAGGGGGCTAATGTATAGAAGGAACAGAATAGGACCTAAGACTGAACCCTGAGGAACACCATTCAATAATGGAGTGGTCTTAGACTGTGTGTTATTCACAAACATCGAAAAGGTTCTGTTGCTCAGATAAGTGGAAAACCACTTAAGAACAGTTCCAGAAATTCCCAACTCATTTGGCAATTGATGTCGCAGAATTTTTCCGTCGACTGTGTCAAAGGGCCAATAAAATCAGTACACTGCTCTGCCCAGAGTCTGTGGCCATCAGTATGTCATTAGAAACTTTTAACAAGGTAGTTCCGGTGCATTTTGCAAAAACCAGAATAAAAATTATCCAAAATGTTATTACTTTGCAAGAAAGTAGTCAACTGCCCAACTTCTCCAGAAGTTTGGCAAGAAAAGGCAGTTTTGATATTGGCCTCTAATTGCATAGCTCAGTGGGGTCCAAGTTGGACTTTTTCAAACCAAGACGCAGAGCTGTTTGCTTCAAACAACTGACAATGTGCTTTAAAATTGACTGTGACATGATTTGAGTGTGTCTCTGAATTGGATTTATAACTTTAACTTGTTTTTATCCATTGTATGGTCTCCAGAGGTGACTTATTTTGAACTGGGGGTACATAAATGAACCAAACTCCTATTAGCCTACTTAGCTCAGATTGCTCCTGAAGGATACGTAAACTAGAGGCTTCTGCCCCTCCCGAGGACATCTGTGGCTTTAACAGAACTATGATGCTGATAAACGCTGTACCACCTTATCAGAACTTTGGAACATTCTGGAGTGTCTATGGATAACTCATCGCCTTTGTTGACCTCTATGCATAAATGTATTATGTCATTGTGTGTTGCCAGGTCTTTTTTTTTTGTTGCATCTTTTACACTGTTTCCTGGCCAGGACATGATATTTTTTGGCTTCCTCCACCCTCGTGTTCTCTTTTTCTCATCTGCCTGTATGTTGTATGTAACAGGTCTCTCTTGTAAATGAGTCTCCGAGGCTCATTGGGAACTAATCCGTATAAATAAAGGTCTAATAATAATAATAATAATCCTAAGTGTTCAGTTTGGGACAACTGTAATCCAACAGATCATATCTGCTTACCTTGGAGTAGTCGAGACGAGATGTTGCGGGGTTCGACTCTACGTGAGCTCTGATGAGGGCGCTCAGAAGGGTGCTGCCGTGCAGAACCGACTCGGGCGGAGCTCTGGGTTTGGACGGCAGACGACCCCTTCTACCTTTCAGACCTGCTGTCCTCACCACTGCAGGACATAACAAGAGCTTAAAAGATCGGACAATAATGACATCGCAGATCGGGACTTTGTTCCAATGGTTACCTTCTTTGACCATTCCCACTGCTAGGCACTTTTGGAAGCGACAGTACTGACACCGGTTCCTCCTGCGCTTGTCTACGGGGCAACTTTTCACAGCCAAACACACGTATTTGGCATTTTTCTGCACTGTGCGCTACACAGGGAGAAAGAGGAGAAAGATGTCCTTCAGCACGCTTTTAAATAAGTTGTAAAACCATACAATGTCTAAACCACCTGATCCATTTTACACCTTTTGTTTCCAACATGCCCTAATATGGGCACTTGAAAACAGAATTTTGATCACCCATTAAGGTTATTTTAATTTTAAGCAAGTATTTTAGCAAGTAAATGTAATTTACAATAACAGACAATTTTGAGCCATTTATTTTCAACTGCGGCCTAAAAATTTATTTCAGCTTAATCAAAGATATTTGATTCATTTGTCTTCTGTGGCATCTGACAGAGAGCATTATGTTTATTTTGTTATGGCTTAAGAATACAGACAACTTGGTTAAAGTATTGGAACTGTCATATACAGTATATACTTACTGGATTTTTCGGACTATAAATCACACTGGATTATAAGGCGCATTAAGCGAAATAAACAGTCACATAAGTCAAACTTTATTCAACTCATTCACGATAACGCTCAAGATTGTTGAGTTGTACCACATAAAATTGGTTCAAGGTCAGTAACCAGAATTAATACACAAAGTGCACCAGATTATAAGGCGATTTTTGTCGATTTTTGAGAAAATTTTAAGTACACCTTATAATCTGAAAAATACGGTATATATGGGACGATTCTATTAGTGTAAAAGGTTTAATCTTCATGTCTGTAGCAACAGCTTTTAAACATTAGATGAGCTTATTTACTGACCATAAACCGCAGATTCGGTATAAATCAGTGCCTTCTTTTATTCACACTCGCTATATTCTCATTACAATATTTTTTGGCAGAAATATGAAGAAAATATTGCAATACAATATATATATATATGCAATGTGTATATGTATATATATTGCAAAATGAGCTGTTTACTAAATACTTTTTTGCAGGTTATTTGAAATTTTACACATTTTGAACCAAGTAATTAGCATTAATACCATCACTTTTGTCACTGTAGCTGAGAGACACCATTTATGATTTCCAAATGCATTTAAATAAAATGATGCAAAAATGAATGCAAAGTAATCTTTAAAGAAGTAATAAATATAAATAAATAAGAAGAATTGATTTATCGAAGTAAAAAAAGGTATAACTGATCTAATTGAGACATTGCAAGAGCCAAATAAATTAGTTTAAATGTGATTTTACATTTGGCTGATTTGAAAAAATAAATTAGTGCAAACTGTTGTATTTAATTGGCTTATTTTAACAGTTAGATTTTATAGTGTATTTGTTCACTAATTGCTTCTAAGGTCATTTTAATTTACAGCAAACAAAGTAAAAAAAAAAAAAAAAATGGAGGTCTGCTCCTCTGGGCCTTGTGAGGCACTGAGAGGAATTCATCAGGCAGACAGAGGAGGTGAGAGTAAATACATGGTCGTGGTCGTTCATAATTTGGAGACTCACCCCCAAAAGGCATCAGGAGGTCAAAACGTGATTAACGTGCCAATTCCTTGAAATCAGAGATGGAGTGGCTTGTGCAGAAGTTGCTTTCTTGGTGTGTGTGTGTGTGTGTGTGTGTGTGTGTGTGTGTGTG